CCTCCCAGCGCTGCCTCCTGTGTCAGGATCGAGAGCGGTGATTGGAGGAGAGTGCTCTGATCGCAGCCGATTCAGGATGGAGAGCAGGTACACAAACACTCACCGATCAGCTGATCGGTGAGTGTAAATAACTGGACATAGTGTGCTCACTATGTCCCAGTTATTAATGAAGGGGAAGTGATCTACATCTGTTTCGGTCTCAAAATTCAATTTTGGTACATCCCTAGAAATTACTTTGCGTTTTGCACAGCGCCATCTATGCGATCACCATGAGTACCACCAAAATTGTAAGGTTGTCTGACAGTAAGAAGTGCAGGTAGTTCTTGGAAACATTTGTATTGTTGCAATGTCTGCATTATCATATAGGCACTAGTAAAAAATAAATACTCTATGTTCTGCAGCAGTTCTCAAAATTACTTTTTTTGTATATATATTTTCTGAACACTGTTGCTGTGCAGAAAAAACAGTCTGGTATTGTAAAGAGATATGTTACTATTGCATTAATGAGATCCTAATAGGTTGGACTTGATGGACTAATGTCTTTATTCAACCTCAAATACTATGTAACTATGTAACTATGATGAGACTTGTTCTTCCAATGCTTTGTATGTTGCCCAGTCTATGCAGCCTGAGGTCACTCATTGTTTCAATATGTGCGACAGGCACTGCATAAGCTAAGTCCATATGTCTATCATTATAACCACACCGCTTAATGTAACATGTAACTGTGCTCTGACTTCGGTGACTTTTTGGAACTGTTTGCAGAGTGACTTGCTGCAGTAGCCACCCAATGATTTCAGAACATGGAGCATCCAGCCTGATAGCATAGGGAGGTTCACCATTTAGAATTAAGGAATCTGCACAAAAGTGCATGAAATTTGGTAACATTTGCATGGGGTAGGAGACCTCTCCTGCATTACTATACTCCAGCCCCCTTTAAGGCCCGGTTCACAACTGGGCGTTTTACAGCGCGTTCCTACGCGCTGTAAAACGCTCACAATGTGAAAACCAATGATTTGCCTATGGGCATGGTTCCCACCTGGACATTTTACAGCGCGTAGGAACACGCTGTAAAACACCCTACCCCCAAAAAAGTACAGGAGCTTCTTTGGGGCGTATTTGCTGCGCGTATCCATTAGGATACAGCTGGATAGCCCTCGGAAAATCGCGTTTGTCGCGTGTTTCTTTGACGGCAAATCGCGGCAAACGCACATATTCCATACACGCAGGTGTGAACCCAGCCTTAGGGAATGTATAGTTTATCTATTTTAGTGTGTGTACTTGAAAATTTTTAGGGTGTCTCACCAGTCAGTCAAAAAATGTCACCAGTCAGCATGACCGGACTATAGCCTTGCAATTTGTTAACATTTTTTTGGGACAGATGGAGGTTTCTTTTGGTGGTATATAATCACCACTGGGGTTTTCTTTTCTTTTTTACTATATAATGAAAAAGTACCGTAAATTTCGAAGAAAAAAAAGTTTTCGCTAAGTTATGTTAAAAAAACATTTATTCTTACCCATATTTTTGGTACATTATAAAAGACAGGGTCACATCGGGTAAATAGACACCAAACATGTCAAACTTTAAAATTGTGTCGCCCGCAAAATCGCAAAAAAAAAAAACATACTCAGAACTGGCCATAGGCGACGCTTTAAAAGCTTTTACTGCTCATCAGTTCAGTGTTAATAGAGATTAATGGCCCTAAACGTATTGCTCTCACTCTGACTTTCACGGTGTTATGTAACGTGTGGCACAATTGCCATTTTCACACGTAGGCGCACCCGACGCATGTTTGTGTATGTGGGGGCTTTAAAAATAAAATTTTGTGGGTTTTTTGATCACTTTAATTAGAAAAAAAAATTAACTTAACTTTATTGCGATCACATAGGGGGCTAAGCAGCCATCCAAGAAGCTACTCGTTTGGCTCCAGTGTCCTCTCGTCACAGACGAGAGGACAAGTGAATTTTCAAGCTATGTATATGTGTGTGTTTGTGTATAGATAGAGAGAGAGATATGTATTTCTTTGAACATATGTGCTTTAATTCTTGAGATGTGTAGATTTTCCACTAGTTGAAGCTCTGTATTTTACTGCTATTTATACTGCACCTGTTAAAAAAACCTTCTTTAGGATATCAGCCACACAAGCAGTGCATTGTTTTCAATACATTTTCCGATGCAAAGGAGAGCTGGCCTACTCCAATATATAAGAAGTCCAACAAAATGTAGCACCACATGAATCTTCTTATTCCAAGTCCAAATATGTGCAACCATTTTGGACCTCCTATAATCCTTTCTCGGGTAAAACAAGCATCGTGAAAGTGTCCCAAAACCTCACTTACTTTTGTATCCACTATAATAGACCGAAAATGTGCATCACCTAATTGTACAGCAGATCAGGATAACCAGTTACATTGATACAAATAATCTTTATAAATCTACATTTTTAAATACAAATACAACATCATGCCATAGAAATGTAGTTCTCACATCACTTTGGCAAATCCTGCAACAAAAGTAAATCTAAATCACACAAAAAAACACAAGTAAATCATAATAAACATTTAGGTACTATGTTGTTGTATTTGAATTTAAATGTAGATTCATAAAGATTCTTTGTATCCATGGCAAGTGGTTATCCTGATTTGCTTTGTAATAAGGTGATGCACATTTCTGGTCTAGTATAAGTGAAGTTTTGAGATGCTTTCATGATGCTTTTTTTTTACCTGAGGAAGGTTCCTAGGAGGTCCGAAACTGTTGTTCATATTTGGATGTGGAATAAAGATGCATGTGGTGCTGCAGAGAAACTTTTGTTGGACTTTTTACACATTGGGAGAGTAGGGTAGCTCTCCTATACTGCGTGCAACACATTACGGACATTTAGTGAACACCCTTTAGAGATACTAACCCCTCACCACTCTAGCAAAAATTAAAAAAAGTTTTGGATTCAGATACACTTTAAGAATAATGAATTCTGACTGACTGCTATGAGATAGAGCATTTAATAAGTGGGACTAAAACCTGAAGTCTAGTTGAAGGAAAAAAAAAAAAGAATTGGGGGATACATCACCAATCACATAATTTACCTCTAATGAAGTGTATCCTACGTCCTGCTGCCTGCAGTTTACTTTACAACCTTGGTTCTCAACTGGTGGGTTGTGACCCAAAAGTGGGTCGTGACCCTGTTTTCACTGGGTCGCCGTATGCCTTCCACTTTTCTAGGTGAGAGTCTCCTCTGCCTATCCCTAGCACAGCAATGTCAATTCTCGTGCCAAGCAGCCATTCAAAATATGCTGTCCGACGCCGAGTGTCAGCTAGGGTTGGGATGGGATGGAGCTATGGCCGTGAGGGAGCTCCATCCATATGAGCATTGCTTACAGCTCCCTCACGTGTCCTGTAGAGGTGACATCACATTCTGGCTCCAGGGACCTATACAGGGCACGAGGGAGCTGTACAAGCAATGCACATTCGGATGGAGCTCAGTCACAGCACAGCAGTGGAGGTTCCACTCCAGTTCTTGTAAGGTAGGGGACTGGGTGGACCTTAATAAAAATTAAATTAAAAAAATGTTGGAGTGTGTATGTGTGTCAGAATGTCTGTGAGTGGGTCAGATTGTGTCAGTTTTTTTGAGATCCTGTTCACACCAGTACAGTGCATTAGTCACATAGTACCGTGCGATTAACACACTGTACCACGCAATTGCACCTACTGTGTATTCTGGTGTGGGAGGTGTGTTTTGAGTTGCCATTAATTTGAACGGTAACCCAAACGCACCTCCCACCCACAGTTCGTACGCCTGCCCTGGAATGCGCAGTACCATAATGCTGTGCGTTCCATGGCAGTGTGACTTGGGTCGTGACTTAATGATCAAGGAGAAATGTGGGTCCTGAGGTTACACAGGTTGAGAACTACTGATTTACAAAATCCTCTTATCAGTGAAGCCAGATCCTTCTTACGGCGTTTAAGTAACCAGCAGGCCGAAGGACATAGCATATACTTCATTAGAGGTAAATTATGTTACTGGTGTTGTATCCCCACAAATTCTTTTTAACTAAAGGACATTTTATTGGTTCAGTCCACTGATATTTTAGTTTTGTGTGGATGCCTGCAAGATTAATTATCCTGTAGCTATTTTATATCTCTCAGAAGTCATTTCAGTTGCAACGCATGTACACCTAAGTGGGTTTTTCATTTACTTAATATTCTAGAAAATGCAGCACGAAAACTGAGACTTCTGCAGCTGTTAGGCTTTTTTGCTGCACTTCTGTAAGATCAACAAAATGCATTCTTTAGTAGGTATACTATTATTAATAGTGAAATGTTCATATAGTATAGTAGTATAATACTGTCTGCTGACCATGTAGAATATAGTTACATTGCATTTTTAGTAAAGCTGTATTATTTCCAGGTGTTTTTCTGCATTACATAGTCTTATGCTAAGACATTAAACCAATAGCAATCTTGGCTTAATATAAAGAGTTGATTTGTTTTTATATATTTACATTACTATTATATTAAAGATGTATTATGTTTTGCTAAAAATAGCTTTGTTTTACCATCCTAAACATTATCACGCAGAGAAGAATTGCCTTACATTTGCTGTGCCCTTTGTGATTTCTGCAAAATATGGAGACAGATTTGAGCTTTGCTTGGAATTACTGTGTAGTGTGTGGGTTATTGAATGTGCAGTAATGGGCATAATAAAGCAACAAAAAACAATAGTGTTCAATTGGTAATATGTTTTTTATTGTAAAAATTGGAGAAAAGGAAATAGCCTTTCAGTACATTTCTATATCCTCGGCAATCTTGGAGTTTAGACAGTTTGTGATTAGTTTTTCTCTGTGTGTGTGTATAGATAGGATTAGAGTACGGAGGCTGTAATTTGTACTGTACATGGCATTACAAGGTGTAACCTTGATGCTAACGGGTAGAGATGGAAGAAACCGGAGCCTTTGTTAAAAAACGGATATGCAGAAGACTAACTAATCTTTTCTCTCGTCAGCTGAACCATTTTCCTCAAAAATCAAGCAGATGAGGCTCAAAAGAGAAGACTTTGAGATTTTAAAAGTCATTGGGAGAGGAGCATTTGGGGAGGTAAGTTATCTTTTTATAGCCATTGTCTCAGTGACAGGTAGTAGCGGTAATAGGAGTGACATGGACCCCTGCACTCATACACATACCAGCTATGCTATATGGGAGCAGGTGGCATGGTGCAAGTTCTTATGGTCTGTCTGAACTAAATAATGAACCATTTATATTTTAACTAGCGTACAGCACACATTCTGGGTATATCCTTTAAATAGGCATCCTGGCATCCTAAAATTATCAGTCTGGATTCCTAATTTGGAGCTGTAGTTGGTGTTGTGGGCCCCTATCACCTTATTCATTTAGTTTTGGATAGAGTACCGCTTTTCCCTTTGACAATACTAGCCAATGGGCTTTAGTATTATTTTTTTTTGTGCCAAATCTCATCCTCTGTGCAAAAACACTGTTGAGGTAAATAAAATTAAAATTTAAAAAACCAGCACGTATTGATGGTAGAAATAGCAAGAGGATGACGAATCATGTTGCAGTTAAGAAGTGCTCCATCGGTTTTTGTTGCCAGTGGCACAACATTTCTGATGGTTTAAAATCTCTACCAAATGTTGTCTAGGATAGTACAAGGAGGTATATACTACATTCTTTTATTTTTGTCTTTTGCTTATATGCTTCCATTTCATAATCTTGCCAGTATTTTGAATTGTTTTTTTTTTTTATTTCATGTCTTCAGGTGGCTGTGGTGAAAATGAAAGGCAGTGGAAAGATCTTTGCCATGAAGATTCTACACAAATGGGAGATGCTAAAACGAGCTGAGGTACTATTGATGTTCTGCAAATGTAAAACAAATAGAGAGGCAGTCAGACATACACCCACAGGGCTGGTGTTTGGGAGGGGAGTGGGGGGACGACGACTTGGCAGTTGCCCAGGGCTTCCATGCCACGCAGAAAACCACCTTTTATACTTGACAATGTTCATTTAATCAGTCTAGACAAAGCACTGATGACAGGGACTTGCTGAACTGACCAAGCAGTTGACACTTTTTTAACTTTCCTTTACCCAGTCCTCAGTTTTTTTGACTTATGCAGGCTGCAGCATGCTGAACATCACATTCTCTCATCTTCTGCGCGAGTAAACTTAACAGCGCATCCAGTAGCACATTTTGCGCCCACCTCCCAGAGCCTTCAGATTTTGATTGTCTGGTTGGCACCTTGCACCTGCCCTTAAAGACCAGGAGAGTATTGCACTAATCTTTCAGATCTGTCATTGGTGAATGATGCAGCTCTGCAGGAGGATAGATCCAGGACTTGGTCAAAGACTGGGAGAGATTCCAATAGGTGACTCCCAGGAACTGAAATATTTTCCATCACCGTTCTTCTACTGGGCCTTGGTCAACTCTTGGCCAATGGGTTAACATAGTAAACATCTGTTCAAATAGTTTATGTATGTAGGTTGGCCAACTGCGCAAACTGAACTCCAATTACATTTAAGCTATAACATATGATGATATAACAAAGTGAATCAAACTATATGACAGAGCTGTGTTGAGCAATGATTGAAAAAGTTCTCGGGCACACAAATGGAATGAAATGCACAAGAAAAGGGAAAAAACTGGAGAGCTGGAGAACCATGTAGGATTTAGAATTATTAGTCCATGAGGGATCCACTTTAAGCATAGCACATCACACTGGTCTTGCTGCTCTCACAGATTTGACTGGGGAAACCAGCGCACACACTAAATGCACATCCAATGATACCGATAACCTTAAATGTGCATTCAGCTTAAAGCCCCGCCACTGGCCACAATTATATTGCACTAGGTTGGTGTCCTTATGTTTGCTCTTAATTTACCTTAAGTGTAAAGTAATTGTATATTTTAGAATTAGTTTTTGTTAAGATGCTTTGTGGTTAAATATTACAGCATTATCTACATATTTGACCCCACTTCTTTTACAGCTAGAGAAGTGTACTACTTTAACAAATGTAGAAATGTGGTTCTAATTAGTCCCATGAGCTCATTCCTAAAGGCTGCTCTGTACTATTATTGGATTTTGTTATCATGTAGTTTAGTATAGGTTATATGTAACGGCAATATTTGATAGAAGATCTTCAGGATCTCAAGATGTTTGGATCAAGTGAGCAGTGTGTTAGTGTGCTGACCACTATGCAATTGTGTTCAGCTCAGTTCAGGTCTTGGCCTGCTGTGCTTCATTTTGCAGCCAAAATGATTATTTATTATCAGCCAATAATTATAACTTCGCTGAAAGCTTCACAAGCACCTACAAGACTGATGATTCATTCCTGTAGGCCACAGAAGGGGGCACAGACAGCAAACTTATTCCTGAACCTCAGCTTTGCTGCTTGAAGATTAGTCAATCATAGTTGGGCTTTTGCAGCAGCTATTAAAACATTAGTTGTATTATATTGATGTTTTTTTAGCTTTTGCTGCTGAGCAGTTTACCTTTTGTTGGTAGTCGCCACATGTATAGCGCACTGATTTCCTTGTGTTGCTGACAAGATGGCTGCCAAAATGAGGAACTTGGACGCATGTCCTTACAGGATGGCTCCAATGTGAAAGTAAAATGTTACTTAAGCACTTTCCATGCTGTCATCATATAATTACTTTACATACAAGTGTACAGACCCTTAGATGTGACCTGGACCTGATTAACACTGTTGCCTGCACAGGTTTGCAAGCTTTCTGGGAGCTAGATGCCTTGGCTGAACTGCACATGCTTCAGGGAGTATAAGATTAACATCTAGAGCATGCTCACTGTTGCTGAGAAAATTGGCTCACAGGCTGCATGTCCAGTACTTGTACCATATATATGTTATTTGATGAAGACAGCAAGGAATTTGTATATGTAGTATTTTATCTGCAATTTAATATTAGTATTTTTAATTACTCGTGATGTAGCATTGTGCCTCCAGAACAGTATTTCAGCATATGGGTTCCAAGTTTTATTTTTACCCTGGAATTCCTGTGTCTGTTTGTCTCTTTTTTTTATTTTTTTTCTCTGTATGTGTGTGTTTATATGTATGTACTCCTAGATTACACTTGGTAATCCCCTTTTAAGTACAGTGCTTTAACAATTCCACATTCAATGCCAGGGCTGTACTTCTGATGCATGTAAGTTGAAGTACCACATCAAAAGTCATTTATAGTTTTGTCTGCCATATGTAGGTGCCAGAATCTCTCATGCTGTACTACATTTCCCACCTTCTAATTGCTTTGTATTGTAAATCTGCAGTTCTTAGTGTTGAAAATACATGTGAATATATCTTGAGTATTTTTTTTTTCTTCAGCAAGGTTTATTTTCCCTAATTTGCCAAGGAACCAAAGTTTTATAATTCTAAATGCATCCTTTGAAGTGAAATGGGAAAAGGGAGGATGACAGTTTACTGAAAAGACACTTGTGTAGATTATAGACTTGTTATGAGTCAGCATAAGTCAGATTAGATCAGGAAAGCATGGTTTTAGAAGTGATTTAATAAATGCTTGTAAGTTGCCAGTTCTGGAGCCTAGCCCATATATCCCACAAAGAAACCTGTGTTGTGTCAGTGCAGATCCTTGCAAGAATGTTAGACAAAAGACCATGCAATATTCCTCTTTAAACCTATGACAAATGACAAGGAATATATAATTACTCATACATTTGCCAATACACTTTAGATGACCTAAGTGTTAGTAACAGTAATATTTCTCCATTTGTCTGTCAGATTAGTAAACTTTTACTCTTCTGAACTCCACAACAAACCAGTAATCAGAATGTACGGGGAGAAATGCCTCACAACAAAATACAGTTGGTTAAGCATCAGTTATTCAAATTGGTAGATACAATAGTAACCTAACCACCACAGGCTTTTGCAGTTTTAATATAGGTTGCCTTCTGCATGTTTGTTCCACTAAGTTGCATAGTTACATAGTATTTGGGGTTTAATAAAGACATACGTCCAAGTCCAACCCATATAGGTCCACGCATCATCTCATTCTTAGTGATACTGGTATCGCTGGATATTACGGTCCCTCAAGAAATTGTCCAAACGTTTCTTGAACAAATCTACACTCTTGGCCGAAATCACTGCTGATGGCAGTGAGTTCCAGACCTTAACCGCTCTTACTGTAAAGAACCCTCTTCGCCCATTGTGCTGGAATTTTTTCTCCACCAACTTTAGGTGGTGGCCTCTAGTCCTCTAGTCTTTGTAATGGAGTTAATCTCAAACAGTTTGTTGCCAATGTTGCTGTCACCATTGAACATCTTGTACATGAAAATCATATCCCCCTTAATCTCCTTAATTCCAGCGTAAACATGTTTAAGGTCAGAAGCCTTGTCTCATAGCTCTGGTCCTCCATTCCCCTAATTAGTTTTGTTGCCCTCCGCTGGACTCTCTCCAGTTCAAGGACATCCCTTCTCAGTACCGGCGACCAAAACTGGACCGCGTACTCCAGATGTGGCCGAACCAACGATCTATATAGAGGCACAATTATAGACTTGTCCCTGCAATACATCCCCTTCTTAATACAGGACAAGACCCTGCTAGCTTTGTTTACCGCAGCTTGGCACTGCAAGCTACCATTCAGTTTGTGGTCTACAATGACCCCCAAATCTTTTTCTATTTCTGACTTCCCTAGCGGCATACCCATGATTGTATAGCCTATTTGTTTATTTTTATGTCCAAAGTACATTACTTTGCATTTATCGACATTAAACCTCATCTGCCATAGTATTGCCCACTCCCCTATTTTATCCAGGTCCTCCTGCAATGTTATATTGTCACGATCCGTTTCTAGTACCCTCCCTATTTTTGTATCATCTGCAAACACGGAAACATGGCTATTTATTCCCTCCCCGATGTCATTAAAGAATAGGTTGAACAGTATCGGGCCCAGCACAGATCCTTGAGGCACACCGCTCAAAACATGAGCACTAAGGTGCTCATGTTTTTAGATATACCATATGCTTTATGGCAAAAGCTAGAAATGACCTGACTGCCGTATAACCAGGCTTGTCTGCCTGACATGTTGGGGGATAGCTAGCTTTACTCATATTTTAAAATGTGCAGTCCCTGAACAGATTAGACCAACATTTTGGAAATTAGAAGTAAATGTATTCTTGTCATATAGTTATAGCACAACTGAAAATGTATAGAAATGTGAGAGACTTGAGGGTGCTGCCATTGGTGATCTCATTTTGAAAATGTCAGTTGTCTGGTTGTCATCCTAATGTAAGGTCTTCAATGCTTTCTGAATCACCAACCTGAAACATGGTGTGCTGACAAGGTTCTGTATTCATTTGCTGCGTACCTGTTCCTGGTCCGTGACTGAAAAACCATTGCATCCAAAGACAGATGAGCAACTTGTCGTTTCAGAGGGAGGTTAGGAGAGGTTTCCTGCAAAATGTTCTCAACACATGGTTTCTAAAATAAAGATGGAGCCAAACTGAAAAAAGTGTAATTAACTTTTCACTGGCTAAGTCTGACCAGCCCACATTACCTTTCTTTAGCCTGCGATAACTGTTGGACTAACATGCCCTTCTCACTAAAGCTAGAATTGCATTCCTGCCTGCCTGACTGCCTACCTACCTATTTTTGTATTACTGTATTTGCTTTACTGTGTGAAAATGGCCCACACTGGCAAATATTAAGGCCTGGTTCACACCTAGGAGTTTTTGAGCAGTTCGAAGAGTGCTTTTAACTTCCCAACTCAAGAAATCCCATGATTTTCAATGGCCCTGGTTCACACCCGAGCAGAAAAATGCCTGAAAAGGTACAGGAGCTTCTTTAGGCAGTTAAAAGCGCTTTTTTGCCCCACAGACTTCATTGGAATTGGCCAAAAACGCACAACAGAAGCATGTTGTACATTTTCATGAGCGTTTTTGCACGTTTATACGGGCTTTCTTCCATTGCCCACAATGGTTTTCAGCTGCCGGCAAAACGTGCATACAAATGTGCACAAATAACCGCGTGCTGCTAACACGCAAAAATGGTGGCGCCTAGGTGTGCACCCAGCCTTAAGTCTTGAGAAAATGTGCAAAACTTGACAGCTCACCAAGCTGCCATGAGTTCAATCCTAAACGGATTAAAGCACAACTCCAGCTACAAATAACAAGATACAAATGAATAACTTATTATATAACAAAAAAAAACACCTTTTGCTGCAATCCAGAGATTTTCTCCGCAGTTTTTTTTCTGCAACTAGTTTTCCCTCAGTCTAATGGCCAGCATCAGGGCCCATTCACACCAGAATGTTGCGCTGTGTACTTTACTGTGCGTTTAGTTAAAGCTATAGCACGGCACATCTAGGGTATGGTACCAAGTGCTAGGTTCCTTGCCATTAAATGTGAATTGCGCCCAACACACCTCTTGGTGACTGTGATTTGCAGCACAATGCGCACTACTACAATACCATGTGCTGCGGTGATACAGAGTAATCCATGCACTACTTTTTTCACTGCAACACACGGTATTACAGTACCGGGCCCTGTGCTGCAATGCACAGGCACTGGAACGTGCTTTGGGAGTGCCATTCAAATAAATGGAAATGCACAGTACCACATGCTAGGTGTGCTAAAGGCATGATAAATGGCCTGAGTCTGCTGCATATAAGTGGTGCTCTGAAGGCATTTGGAGAATAGGCATTCGTTTGTCTTTGTATGAGATAAAGGCTACATTCACACCTACCGAATAGGTGCGATTTGGTATTCGTGCATCAGAAAATTGCGAATTCTTGCAGCAGGAATTCCAATTCTTCCATTTTACAAGTGGCAGCTGTCACCTGTTCAAGTTAATGATTGGGTGATACTGGCCGCATTTGAAAGCGGCAGAACTCTGGTACACTACATGTAATCTTATGTGATACTATGTGATACAATTACATGCGATTAGGAATCAATCACTATCCCTGGAAGCATTAATCATGCACCCAGGGATAGTGATCTCTTTCTAACTGCATGTAACATACGATTTACTTGTGATGTGCCAGCATTCTGCCGCTTTCAAATGCGGCTGCTGTCACCTGATCATTAAATTGAACGATGACAGCTGCCGCTTGTAACTGGCAGACTTGGGATTCCTGCTGCAGGAAGTCAGTTTCCTGATGCAGAAATCACTAATTGCACCTACAGTGTAGGTGTTAATGAGGGCAAAAATGTTCACGTGTTCCCAGCACGTTGTGGTGCAGAGCACAAGCACTGGGAATTCAGGTTTATGAGAGGTGCAGTGTTGACCTTCCATTTCCCTCAGGTTATGTCAAACAGGAATGCCAAGATGTGTCATTGGTCCTATTCCCTGACATGTCTGGGATGCCTTCCAGAGATCGGACAAGTACAGACAGGCTTCTCCGCTCATCTTGTACTATTTAAGAGACTTAGAAACTGGCGTTCTTATTGTATGTCTATATCTAGATGTGGTTTATATCATACAGGCAATCTCATCTATTGCATGTCTCGATAACACGAATTTCCGTGCAGTGAGATATAGGAAGTAAATACTTTGCACAGTATAATAAACTACTGCTAGTGTGTGTACATGTGTGTAAACACACAATTTTAAGCAAAAGTGATCCCAATACATTCTGGTTTTCTGTTGTTAAAAAGGACTTGTGATTTGTATTAACGAAAATGTATCTTATTTGTGTATCACTCAGCTGTAGATCCTCAAATCATCTCTGAATTCATGCTGACACTGTCCTTCCTTCTGGCTACTTTTGTTCCCTATTGTCCCTGTGTGTGCTCCAAGCTCGCTCCCGTGATGGACTGCAATCTCATGTTTTGTTTACTATATATTAAATAAATATATTGAGATTATAATCCATCATGGGAGTGAGCTTGGATCGGGGACTACTTTACAACACGCACAGGGATCATGGGGAACACAAGTAGCCACCCTCCAGAAGGAAGAAAAGTGTCAGCACCAATCCAGAGATGATTTGAAGATCTATAGCTGAATGATAAACAAGCTACATTTTTGTTAATAGTTAATGTACTTGAATGCATTTTCAGATTTAACTCCTCAGTTTAGTGTCACTTTACCTGATGCATTTAGCCTTTCCATAACCAGTTATAGCAGTTCTGTGAATTGATCATCTAGGCATAATCTACATTACCATTTTGGTGGCTGTGGGTGAATTAGAGCTAGAAACACAGAAATGCTGGCACCCACAGGGAAGTGCCAATGTGAACATGCATAGAAGTACCTTTATGCTCTGCTTTCCTCCCACACTTTGAAAACATAGCTCATTTGTGTGTACTTTTATCTATACTTTATAAATGAGAACACACGTGACTAAAATTAATAGTCGCAGTGAAGGAGCTGCAAGCAAAACATATTGACCTCCATTTGTGTTTTTTTTTGTTTTTGTTTTTTTAGCAGGTTACAAAATGCTTGGTCTCCTCATCTGCTCTTTTAAGACTGCACTGTGGTGTTTTTTTTCCCAACTAAATATGGTTTTGTAGAGGAGCTCAGGGAGATGACTGGAAGATGATTAGTAAATAAAAGGTTATCACAACTTTCACTTCATCATTAAGTATTTTTGCAAACTCTATTCAACGAAGCTAAGAAATGTTTATACTATTCATAAACCAAGAATGTAATTGTTTTGTTATGTTATAAACACTTTTTAAAATAAATTATATTTTATTTTGCAGACTGCTTGTTTTCGTGAAGAAAGGGACGTTTTGGTGAAAGGAGACACATTGTGGATTCCAAGCTTACACTATGCATTTCATGATGATAGCTACTTGGTAAAATATTCTGTTGACTTTGTCTGGTTTTTGTTGATAAAGCATGTGTATTGTCCTGGAATAACTATTCATCATCCTTTAATGTAAAAACATGCACACACATCTACAATACTAACAGGGTACCAGTGGCAGGTTCAAAGCAGGAGCACAGAATACACAAAGTAGTGACACCGAAGCCAGTAGATCGAACCTCTGAGTAGAGGGTTGGGGGACCAAGAATTTAATGATAGTCCTGAAGGTGTTGGTTTCTGAAGATTCATGAGCCAGCCGGTTCTCTTTTCTACAGTGGGGATAGTCTGTGGAGGGAGAAGAGAGGCGAGAATTAAATGTTTGCAGAAAGACCTTTTTATTTTCAACATCTTGTAGCAACAGAGTCAGTCAGTCATTTTAAGTTTAAAAAAGGGAAAAAAAACCTGGCAGTCCTGCTTTCCAAGTTAGTTCTTTCAACAGGGTGCTCTGATATTTGCTCCTTTCTAAAGTGCAGATCAGGTTTTAAGTATACATGCATTCCTTGTGCTTTTGAGGATATTTGCAAACACAGAGGTAGTGAAAGTGCATCCATCTAGTGCTATATAACAGCAAAAAAGAGAAAAAAATATATAATACAAGAGAAGCTCCCTCTTAACATTTAGTATAAGCTTAAAGAAGAACTCTGGGCAGTGAAAAACTTAACTCCAGCTGTGAAGCTACCCTCGCACAGCAAGGGTTAGGTGCTTGTTTAGGTCTAGGGTGCAAATTAAGATATATTCGCTTGAACCTCTGCTCTGGCTGCGGTATGTCCCTTAGCATCCTCACGTGTAATACAGGCCAATGAACTTGTATTACACGTGATGATGTCAGTGGGGCTTAGACTGGAAGAGGCTTTGGGTTCCGGTTCTAGCAGCCAGGCTGTACTGAGGTTCAGGTTTTAAGAAAGGGGGACCCATCCCCAAAATGCATCGCCACGGTTACCACTCTCACCCCTACAGGAACTGGGTGGCACACATGCACCTGCCTTATTTCTGCCACTGTCACCAGTGAGTTCTGGTGTGGAATACACGCACATAGACTTTAGCCTTAAATTACGAACTTGACAAGAACTTTAGACGTAATAATCTTTTACTATAGTTTAAGTGCACCATAGTTTGTGCAGATGCAACAATAGGAACCATTGAAATTTCAGCTTGGCAAAACTATCTACACTGCAATATCACCCTCTAGTGCCTTTTATCTACTCAGCTTCTGTTCAGTTTAGAGTTGTGACATGCCAAGATCTAAACTGTATAGAATTCCTGCTGTCTGGCTAAAGTGAAAAGAGAAGAGGTGAGAAATGCATAAATCAAATTAAAATGGGAAAAGTTGTTGTCCATAGTGATCATTCAAGTGTCATCTTGTTGTGGGGGGGAGTGAAAAATAAATCTAATCAATGTGAGCAACAACTCAATTTTTGTTCCGGTTTTCTTCTTTCCAGGTTTAGTAAGCAGACTCTATATTGTTAGTCGTTGTGTATTTTGTATAGCTTGTGGTTCTCCAGATTGCATAGAGCTTTTGAATATTTTGGCTTGGTGTAAATAAAAGGGAAGTAGTAATTTATTTATATGTTTAGGTAGAACCTGATCCAGCTTGCACTTGTTAATATTCCTGTTGCTCAGACTGTGCTCATTACAGCCCACATTAATTCCTTTAGTGAATGTATGCACAGCCACTAAGTCCACAGTCATAGAGGGAAGCATCTCAGTTCAGTCTGCATCTACAGAAATGCTCCTTTTTTGTTATAACGTATATGTGAACATGATTAGTTTTATTGTATGTTTATCTTAGCTCATCTGTCTTGACATCAGTCCCTTGTGATCGCCTTCACAGCGGCGTTCAGACATTTAGAGTGAAGGTCTGTACTAGCTATGCTAGTGCTGTTAGTCTAAGGAGAGGGAGAGCACAGTGAGAAGTTAATTCAATTGCTATTTAATTGTCCCATAACAAGCTGGGATTTCACATGTTCAGGCTGTATTGCATAAATCACATTAAAGTCTCTCAACTATGCATTATTATTTACATACCACCTGCCAGTCTGACCAGCTAAAAGTTTTCATATATTCAACTATTGCTGCTCCGGATAGTCCAGCCGTGAGTCTTAGAATGCTACTGGCAGGTCACGTGGCTGCTGTCAACATGTAGAAAATGCAACCAGGCAACGTCATTGGTTGGGTGACAGTGGCCTTATGACTTCCTACCCCACCCCCTCCCTTTCTAGGACCTGCAGAAGGACCAAGTCTGGAGAGGTGATTTGTGAGCATGTAAAACCTTTTAACAGCATGGTACAGGTTAGGGCAGCTAATTTATCTAAAAATGTAAAAGTTAAGAGAAACTTTAGGCCCGCTAAAAATGTAGTGTAGACTTCAGGATGATCTAGGACCTGACTTTGCTGTCTGGCAGGGACACCTGGATCACACAACTGGTTGCACATAATTATTTCAATGGTGTATTTATTTATTTGGCGGCAGTGATTTCATGTTGTTATTCTCGCGTGTTATTTACATGTAACCGAGATCAGATTAATGTAAATATTCATCAATATGTTAACCTTGTTAACATCAACAATTTGTAATTTTATATGTACATATGGGCAGCTATATTTGTTCATTGCATATGTATACTTTGCTTTCTGCTTAGTAGTGCTGAACAGTTATTGTTCTGTGCTTTTCCTTTCTTCCAGTCCAAGTCTACCAGCCAGGTCTGACTCATTCGTGATGATGTGTTCCACCTGCCTGGGATCTTACATCAGTAGTTGTTCAGCAGGGAGGCAGTGTGGTGGTGAAAAACAGGCTACTTCAGTAGGCGTCCGTTCCCTAGCATAGCCCTTCCCTCTGTTTGGAAGCATCTAATTACTCTCGGTGCTGGCCCAGCATCTCTGCCCCTCCCCTCGCCTTAGTACATAAACTTCTATAGTCTGGCAAATAATTATTTGATCCCCTGCAGATTCTGTAAGTTTGCCCACTTACAACGAAATTAAAGGTCTATAATTTTAATGGATAGAGACAGAATATCAACCAAAAATACAGCAAAAACACACGATGCAAATGTTCTAAATTGAGTTGCAGTTCAGTGAGTAAAAATGTATTTGATCCCCAAGCAAAACATGACTTAGTACTTGTTGGAGAAACCCTTGTTGGCAAGCACAGAGGTAAGATGTTTCTTGTAGTTGGTTACCAGGTTTGCACACATCTCAGGAGGGATTTTGGTCCACTCTTCTTTACAGATCTTCTCTAAATCCTTAAGGTTTCTTGGCTGTCACTTGGCAACTCAAACTTTCAGCTCCCTCTATAATTTTTCTAATACGGTTAAGGTCTGGAGATTGGCTAGGCCACTCCATGACCTTAATGTGCTTCTTCTTGAGCCACTGCTTTGTTGCCTTGGTGGTAAGTTTTGAGTCATTGTCATGCTGAAAGACCCATCTTCAGTGTTCTGGCTGAGGGAAGGAGGTTCTCATCCAAGATTTTACAATACATTGCCCCGTCAATGCGGCAAAGTTGGCCTGTACCTTTAGCAGAGAAACAGCCCCAAGGCATAATGTTTCCACCTCCGTGCTTGACTGTAAGGCCTGGTTCACACCTGGGCGTTTTACAGCGCGTTCCTACGCTCTGTAAAACGCTCAACATGTGAAAACCAATGATTGCCTATGGGCATGGTTCCCACCTGGGCGTTTTACAGCGCGTAGGAACTCGCTGCAAAACGCCATACACCCAAAGAAGTACAGGAGCTTCTTTGGGGGGGGGGTGGCATATTTGCCGCGCGTATCCATTGGGATACAGCCAGGTAGCCCTCGGAAACGCGCATTTATCGATACACCTAGGTGTGAACCCAGCCTAAGGATGGTGTTCTTAGGGTCATAATCGGCATTTTTCTTCCTCCACACATGGTGAGTCGAGTTAATGCCAAAGAGGCATTTTATTTTATTTTATAGGCGTGGGCTAGGTGTTTTGTGTGTGACTGCAACAGCCGAGGCCGCCCTGACTCCTTCATATCTAACAAAGAACCAGAGGACTTGATTGGAGATATCACAGAGTTTCGGAGTTGGAGAAACTATTTCCTTTACCAATTTTCAGTTTACATTCAAATTATATACCATTGGATCCAGCCACATAGGATCTCTCTTTGGATTGAAGCACAACCAGGAAACAAATCAAAACAGCTGTTCAGTAAAGGCCTGCTTATGCAGCAAACAGAAGAGCCGAGATAGTTATTATCTCCTGAACCTACTGCACTTTATACAGATATTCATTATCCTGGACAAGCTAACCATCCTGATGCTATAATCTCCATTTCCGGAGAAAAACAGCATTCCTCAGCAGGATTTCAATCTCCATTGGAGCAACTGACCCGCTAATATCTTCTTTCCATTTTGGAGAAAACCACCACTACAGATAAGCATGTGTTCAGCAAAGGCATACATCTGCGGCTGGGAGTAAAAGCCGAATGAGGCTAGAGATCTCCTGAACTATCTGCATATCAAGCTGAAACTCATTTATATCCATGGTAAAACCACTCAGATCCTCCTACTTTGTTCTATGGGCGAACATACTCAGTACTGTGAGTGAAATCCATCCATTTTTTTTCTACACGTATGATATATATATATTTTTTTTCATGTTGACTGTCTTTTTGTATTTTTACACACACGTGTATGACGAGATCTGACATCTCCTTTCCAATCTTTGGGAATCCTATCCTTATATCTTCATAAAGTGGAGTTTTTCAGGGTGTGCCCTCTAACCAATGTTTATCCACACGCATTTTTTCTTATCAGCCGTATGCAGCCACTTATATGTTGATGTTTTTTGGATATGGATTTTTTGATATATGTGCAATTTTAAATATATATTTAATAAATAATTCTCTACGACTAATATAAAGTGTATGGTCAAAAATTTTGAAACAGTGGTGGGATCCCCTTTTTCGGGGAAAAATCGATTTTGTTAATGCCAAAGAGCTAAATTTTGGTCTCATCAGACCGCAGCACTTTCTCCCAATCCTTTTCTGAATCATTTAGATGTTCATTGGCAAACTACTGATGGGCCTGTACATGTGCCTTCTTGAGGAGGGGGACCTGCAGGATCTCAATCCATAGTGGTGTATTGTGTTACCAATGGTTTGTTTGGTGACTGTGGTCCCAACTGCCTTGAGATCATTCACAAGCTCCTCCTGTGTAGTTCTGGGCTGATCCCTCACTTTTCTCATGATCATCCTTACCCCATGAGGCGACATCTTGCATTGAGCTCCAGACCGAGGGCGATTATTTTGTATTCCTTCCATTTGTGAATAATCGCTCCAACAGTTTCCTTCTCACCAAGCTTCTTGCTGATAGTCTTGTAGCCCATTCCAGCCTTGTGCAGGTCTACAATCTTGTCCCCAACGTCCTTTGACAGCTCTTTGGTCTTGCCCATGGTGGTGAGATTTGAATGGAAGAAAGAGATTTTGTGGACAGATGTCTTTTTATATACATAACGAGTTGTCGTTAGGAGCACCTTCGTAAATTGACAGGACTGATCTGTGTACCACATAGCCAGTCTGTGGGAGCCAGAATTATTGTTGGTTGGTAGAGGATCAAATACTTATTTTACTCACTGAACTGCAACTCAATTTATAACATTTGTATCGTGTTTTTTTCTGGATTTTTGGTTGATATTCTGCCCCTATCATTTAAAATACACCTATGATAAAAATTATAGTCCTTTCATTTCTTTGTAAGTGGGCAAACTTACAAAATCTGCAGGGGATCAAAGAATTATTTTCCTCACTGTGTGTAGCTGCCGGGGGAGGAGCAACAGGGAATACAATATAGTGTCACTTGGGAGACAGCTCTGAGACTGCAGACATCACATCCAAGATGGTGGCACCCAGAAGCAGTCTTGGACTTTTGAGTGTCTGCTTTTACTGGTAAATAACATGTCTAAAGTACTTTAAATGCCCATATAACCATATGGGATGTTTTTGTTGAAATGGTCTAGCAAAATGGTTTCTGTAACACTTATTGAAGCGTGAAATTTACATTAAAAAACACTTTCCGGCAGTCAATACAAGAATAACTCGGAATGTGTTTTTGTTGTAAATGAACTATAGCTTTAATTTAAATTGTATTTTAAGAAAACTAACTTCTTCTTTCATGCTGACCTATACAGTCCTTACCATGAACAGTGGAATGTTTGTCTATGTTCTGATGATCTGAATGTAACAAAACATTTTTTTTTAAAGTACCTAGTGATGGATTACTATGTTGGAGGAGATCTGTTGACTCTGCTTAGCAAGTTTGAGGACCGCCTACCAGAAGACATGGCTCGCTTTTATTTGGCAGAAATGGTATTAGCCATAGACTCCATGCATAAACTGAACTATGTGCATAGGTAAGATCCTTTTGGAAAAAGGTAACTAATACAGAAATACAGTGCAGCCATGTCATTACAGTGCAGCCATGATTGTAAGCTGAGCAAAAGCCTGTGATCCCAAATGTAAACTTAAGATGTAATAGAAAGCACTGGTAGACTTTTTTTCAAAGTAGACAATATTTACTAAAACTACTTTGGTAAATAAAAAGGGCAGCATAGTACAAAGCACACAGTGCAGTCAGTCTAACTTACGAGTATTAATATCATTATAATCTCTATTGGTGTATAAGGTGCATCAAGGGCTAGCGTAGTAGAGAGCAACGTCCTTTCTACATTGTTGTCCCTTGCTGAACCAGTGGCTGGTTTATAGCTAATGGTATACATGTTGTAATCACTTGATCAGTTGCAGTGCAGCAATACATTCCCAGCACCCATATGGATTTAGGACCAAATGATATTTAATAGTAAAAGGCTCTCTGTGGTAAGACTGGGACAGCAAATGTGATGCCAAGAATTTGACCTTAAGGTCTGTGCGGACTTCTGGAGAAAAATGAACCAAATACGCAGAAATTTCTAGCTTGGAGAAGGCTTCTTTTCCTGTGTTTGTGAAGACACTCGGCCTACTAGAACAACAAAAGGGTGACTGCATAGCACTCTGCTTGAGAAAGGAGTCACTCTAATGCAGGATATCCGGGCCAGTGCTCAGGGGACCAGCTGATTCTGCAGGAAAACGAAAACTTTTAAAACCTCAAGAAGCATCATCCATTGCAAGTGATTTCATCAGCATCAGCATTTGAAATGGCTTAAAATTATTTTGACTTTAATATACACCGTTTGTAAAGAGATCACCCCCAGAAAGCTGTTGCCATATTTGCAAAAAAAAAAAACGCAATGGTTTTTGAGCAGTCTTGGAGAAATCATAGCTGGCTTCAGATTGAAATGGAAAATTAATTTGTGATATAATTAAATTGCAAAGTGCCTTGCATATCAATTACAAATGTATCAATTTCATAACAACAGTGTTGCTTTGAAACTGCACTTTTAGATCTGACAGCTGTGAGCTCAGGATACAGGGCTGCCCATTAGGTAGATCGTGATCTACCAGTAGTTTTCAAAGCTGATGCTGGTAGATCACGAAGGGTGTGAATGGTGGCCCCTTTATTCCATTTTGGTATATTTATTTAGCTGTGCACACATGATTACCTATTAGCCTGAGTCTGCTGAGCCAATCTCCCTGACACCTTTCTGGTGGATACTGGTGGTTGAAGTGATATGCATTACATCAAAGAATATTAGTTTACACAGCCTGTTGCACTACACTGTTTGCAAAATACAGCAAGGTGAGCCAGGAGAGAGAGCGGGGAGAGACAGCCAGGAGAGCGAGGCGAGACAGCCAGGAGCGAGAGAGGTTTTTTTTCCATTGGTAGATCTCATGTACCGTATATACTCGAGTATAAGCCGAGATTTTCAGCCCATTTTTTTGGGTGAAAAGTGCCCCCCTCGGCTTATACTCGAGTCAGCGCCAGGTGTCATCTTACTTACCTCGCCGAGCGTCGCGTCACTGCTGCTCCGGTGTGCGGCGTCAAATTTTTAAAAATATTTTATTTTTATCTATTTTTTATAAACTTTTAAAATATATTTATTTTTTAGGGGCTTCTAGGAAATATTAGGGGTCTGAAGAGACCCCTGATATTTTCCTTTTTTTAACATAGAAAAATAGATTGAGGACTCTGTGTCCTCAATCTATTTTTCTGCAGCAACTGTTATAAGTGAACAGGAATCCTCTATACTGAGTGTTCCTGTTCATTCATAACTTGTGGAGATAGTATTTTTACCATGTCCACAATCATGAATGAACAAGAAGTGATGAAGATCACGTCCTGTTCATTCATAATTGAGGACACCGTAAACATACTATGGCCTCAATTATTTACAAACACTCGGCGATCACTGATCGCTCAGTGTTTGCACCTGCTTTTCACATTGACAGCTATCACAGGAGGTGGGGCGGTGCGGGAGGAGAGCTCTACCTCCTGTGACAGGAATGATGGCGGTCTCCTTCTTGGATTGGCTGTCACAGGAGGCTGGGTGGGGAGGTGCGGGAGGAGAGCTCGGTCTCTTGTGACAGCAATGGCTGTCTCCGCCCCTACACCCCTCTCCCGATCTGTGACGGGAGGCTGAGCGGTGCGGGAAAGGAGGCACGCCGGCTGCTCGCAGCGCTCTTCCCTCCCAGCGCTCGGCCTCCTGTGACAGTTTCTCTCTTCCCCGCTGGGACACAGAGCAGCGCCCAGTGGGGAGGAGAGAAAGAACAGATGCACCGCTCTTTCGGCCATAAAATTGCACTTTCAGCATTTTGACAAAAGTGCCATTTTTGACCGATATGTTTCGGCGGCCGATATATCGGTGCATCCCTAATTTTAGTATCTAATCTGCCCTGAGTTTACTATTACACTGTAACTTTATTTAGGATATTAAGTGGAAGGACATGACATACATCCCAGTGTTTTTTCTTCTCTTCTTAGGATCAGTTTGTGATTCTTTATGTATAAAATATACAGTATATGTGAATGGAATTGGCCTTTTAGTTTGTTTTTGATCAGGCTTAGCGTATGTCTTTATCAAGCGACATTGCAAGTAATAGTATGTAGAATATTTGAGTATTCTGTTTTCCTCCTTGTGTGCTGAGTGTTTTGTTTCCTCTACACAGAGATATAAAACCAGATAACATTCTCATTGACCTGAAAGGCCACATCAGGCTTGCAGACTTTGGATCATGTCTAAAGATGCGACCAGATGGCAAGGTAAATATACTTTTTGTATTATCCCAGAATTATTCTGTGCTTTAGAATAAGTACATTTAGCGTCAAGATCTGATTGGTAAGGTGTTAATATAGTTATAATCATAGTAGTTAAAGTGCAACTCTAACCAAATCTTTTTAGAGTTTTGAATAGCATTGGAAAGGGTTACAATCTTTTGTCGGAAATTGTCTCCAGGAAAAGTACCCTAACCCTATTTCCCCCACCACATTAAGAAAACTGTTCTTTTGTTTCTGTACATGTACTTGGTAGAGTTGATTGTTGAGAACAGTCCTGTTAGAATACTTGCAATAATATACAATCGGTACAAGCCTGTTTATGACAGTAAGGGACGTGTTTTGCTCAAATCATGACACCTTGCTTTCTGAGTTGGTGCTTGGTTTGACTTTATGTTGAACTTAAAATATATCTCTATATATGCATTCATTTTCTAAATCTCATTAATCATATATGCAATCTTCTAACCAGTTAAGTAATGTCACAGGTCCTTCCTCTTCACCACCACAGTTAGTGACTGGTCCTTTTATGTGTGAGTGTCCTTCTATCCAGGAGTACTCTGAGCCCAAGCTGGCAGGATGACATGACCCAATGCGTGTGTCCATGGTGGCCTGGGGCCACAGGCGCTTGGTTGGATGACACTGGTAGTAAGTCTGCAGGGGACAGCAACTGCAATTAGAGACCTGGTTCAGTCTTGCACACATGAGTAGCTGGCTGCTTTGGAGGAATGGCTTGATTTTTACCCCTCAAATGTCATTCGACTATTGGCCATAAATGGCAAAATAATACCCATCACTTTACCCAACATTACTTTAGTCATGGGTGACCCTAATTTTTCTCAGGATTTTCTTCTAATGTGCGTTTTCTATAGTGCCTGTTAAACTGCTCTAGCTGTAATTTCCAGAACAGCTGAAGTGCATTACTCCTCCATTTGTGGGCTGTGCTATGCTCTACCCAGGGAGAGAGCTCAGTTTTAGTGTGGTGTCCTAGGAAGTAGGACATCTTGGATTTCTTCTAGATTTGATGCGGAAGACCAAAACACCTTCAGGTTGGAACAATAGCACCTTCTGGATTGGACCTTTAGCATTTTGTTTTTCTTCTGTCTTTCTATAGGTGGAATCGTCAGTAGCTGTTGGCACACCTGACTATATTTCACCAGAAATTTTACAAGCCATGGAGGACGGCAAGGGGAAGTATGGGACAGAGTGTGACTGGTGGTCTTTAGGAGTCTCCATGTATGAACTTCTCTTTGGAGAGACTCCTTTCTATGCCGAGTCTCTTGTAGAGACATATGGAAAAATAATGAATCATGAGGTAACATTCTTTTTTAGCCCTCCTAGATTTAGTTATCAAACCTGTATTTTGTCATCTGTCAGAATTTTGATTTTAGTTTCTAGAGATGGTGAAAGTGGTTATTTAGTCTATTTGTGGGTATTTTTAATCATGGTTGTTGCTAATGTTTTGAAGTGATTCACAACACATTAAACTACATCCCAGTGTGATAAAACACTGTAAAACAATGTAAAAAATGTTTTTTTCCCATTTATGCCACTGTTAAGCAGCCCTTTCCTTTCCAGTACATAAACCGCTGTCAAATAACTATTCAGCTTATAAGCAATTGATGCTTAAGCTGTAAACTAAAACTCTGCTGCCCTGCAATCTTGGCTCCTGCATACCATATAGAATGTAAAGTAAGACTGTAAATTACAGCCTGCAGCTAGGTAACCTCAGACTGTCCTGTTATAGTCAGAGCAGTAGATGTACATCAGTGGCTAGGGGGAGTGGTTACAGATGGCAATGAAAACGTAGCTTCTGCCTTTTAACAAAAAAGTCAAAATTTGCATATCTTAATAGCGCTGTTTAGTCTGCTGAGACTGCTTATTATGCAGAAAGAGAGGAGCAGATTATGAAGGTTGCTCTTTGTTTACATGCTTCAGAAGTGGAAAGGTTTCCTTTAATTAGTAACCAGCAGCAAAAATAAAAGGTACCTTTTTTGTATAGGGTTGCTCCCCACCCCACCACTTTCCCGGCTGTTTAAAAATGCGATATTCTGGCAATGTTATTCATTAGAAAGAGATTGCAAGGCCAGTATTTTTCCCAGAAGAGGTAGTAAGCAGCCTCATCTGCGCAGCGCCATAACAGTAAGTGGCACAAAACTGAGAAATTACTGGCATAACATCGTGTTATGGTAAGTAATTTACTGATTTTTGTCAAAAGCTCTTCCTTCTCAGAATAAATGCAAAATATTAGTAAAGGATGTAGAGCATTTTTACATTCTCTGTTTTTAGTAAAACCCATAGGCCAGACAAAAATTGTACTACCAGTGTTGTTTTGTAGAATTCTTTCTAATCTATTACAAAGCTACAATTTACACAGAGTTTATTCATAGTGGACTCCATACCGAATAATAAATCTCTTTCTAGTTTACTAGAGGATTTCAGGCTGCAAATATTTCACTGCGTTTTTTCTTTTTTTTTTTCTTTTTTTAAAGATCATTTACATCAAGTGACATAGTGGCATAGTAGATCCAGATATCAAAGTTCACCTTTTAGTTAGAGAGTTGTTTTCCCTTTAACATTACATTGCAACACACAGGAAAAATCAGCATAAAATTTTAGTGTAACATTGAGATAAGACCAATACAGAAAAGCCCTGGGGCCTTGCTAAAAAAATATAAAACATAATTCAGTGTTTACAAGTCAAAATTCTATGTTTTTTCCTTTATTTTTGTATGAAGTACCTGATCCAGCTCCAGCATGCACCTCTGCAACAGTACATTATTTTATATAGACAGACAGTTTGGTGTTGCAGTGGACTGCTCTTGCAAGGAATGCAGGGAGGAGCTGGGTCATGAGCACACTGGAAATCCTGGTCATGTCAGGGATGACCTAACATAATTTCCCATGTATGACATGCTATAAAGCACTCTTAGGCTAGGGCTACACTAGCCTTTTTTTTATCATTAGTTTATTTGTTTTTAGTTGAGTACTATTTATATAGCAAAATACATGTGTGCAACAAGTATCACTTGAAGTTTCAATTAGAAAGCACAAATTTGGTATACATGTATGGTTGAACGGTTAATATTCAATAAGGTTCATGGAGAGAATGTTGGTTCTGGGCTGAAGGGCCCCATGGGGTTACTCCAGCCTTAGGGTTGTTAAGAATGACAAAAAAACAATTACATGGTGTAAAACATATAGGCACAAGACAGACAGGTTTGGAGGCTGGTTGAGTGGACTGTGATACACTTGCTTCTATAGGAATTATCTCTTGCCACGAAGAAATGTATTTGCTGGCAGTCACCTGAATAGGTTAGAGCTACATGTGAGATCTTTAGTAGCTCAATCCTGCTACTAATAATTGTTTAGCGATTAATTGCTAGTTGTAGTGCATCATTGCTGAGCAAATGATTCCCAATCAAGCATTCCATGTCAGTAGGTACCTGAAATAAGGTCATTAACATTGTTTCTTTTTTTAAATACATTTTCCATTGATTCACAATAGGTTATGGATTATATAGTGCTTGCATTTTGATATGATCTGACTGTTTAATTGTTAATGTTTGATGCAGGAACATCTGCAATTTCCATCTGACGTTACTGATGTATCTGAACATGCAAAGGATCTCATCAAGCAACTGATATGTCGGCAAGAGAAACGCCTTGGAAGAGGAGGTGTCAGAGATTTCAAAAAACATCCATTCTTTAGCGGAGTAGATTGGGACAACATACATACTGCTGTTCCACCCTACATCCCTGAGGTTGATAACCCAGCAGACACCTCCAACTTTGATGTGGATGATGATTCTTTGAAAAATGTGGTTGGTGATGATTACTTGTTTAGCTGTTCACTTTCTATGGTAGCTAAAGTTAAGCGTGTCAGGTCTATATGATATTTCAGATGGCATGTAGATAATAAAGGTATAAGGCCTTGTATATTTTGTTTTTACTGTACACATTAATGTAGAATAGAAATGGATAGCTAATTTTAAGAAGCTACTTTTCCTTAAATGTGGTGAGTGGTTAGAACCACTGTGATTTTACTCTGTCTAGTTGTCCAGATCACCAATAATACCGGGAATAAAAGTGATGAGAAATCCAAAATTGCCACCTGAACAGGTAAAAAGGGGCAATCTTCCACTGGGAACAATTGTTTCCCTTGACATTTCAAAAAGGGTTCAAGATGCCAACCGGGGAACTACAGACCAGCCAGTTTAACATCAATAATATACAAATTGTTTGAGGGAATGATAAAGGACTAGTAATAGATTTTGTTCATGGCAATGGTATAATAAGTGACAATGGGCATGGATTTAGAAAGGACTGTTCTTGTCAGACCAACCTACTAACATTCTTTCAGGAGGTCAGTAGATAGTGGAACGGCAGTGGACGTAGTGTACCTGGATTTTGCACAAGTATTTGATGCGGTACCACAAATGCTTAATACACAAGCTGCAATCTTTGGGCATTGATAAAATTGTGTTTATGTGGATAGAGAACTGGCTACAGGAACGTGTCCAGAGACTTTTGATGGCTCTTTTTCAAATTGGTCTAAGGTCGAGAATGGCATTCTTTGCTAGGCCCAGTATTGTTTAACCTGAGTTGTTAATAGCCATATTTCTGTATTTGCAAATCATGCTGAAATTGGGAGGGTAATCGACACAAACTTAGACATTATAACATTACAGGAGGACCTGGATAAAATAGGGGAGTGGGCAACTATGTGGAAGATGGGGTTTAATGTTGAAAAATTTAAAGTAATGCTTTTTGGGGTTAAAAACAGCATACACAATAATGGGAACTCCACTAGGGAAGTCAGTAGGGGTAAAAGATTTGGGGGTCATTGTTGACTACAGATTAAACAATAGCATGCAATGCCAGGCTGCAGCAAACAAAGCTAGCAGAAGACTGTGATGCATTAAAAAGACAATATACTCTAGAGACAAAGCAATAATTTTGCCACTTTACAGATCACTGGTCCGGCCTCATCTCTAGTATGTAGTTCAGTTTTGGTCACCAATCCCCAGAAAGGTTGTGCTTGAGCAACAAAACTAATTAAGGGGCTAGAGGACCAAAGCTACTCGTACTCCCAAATGTTCTGATATTTACCCCTGATACCAGAACTTCTAGTCAGAGAGAGATTTCCTCTGACTGGTAGTGCTGCGAGGGAACATGGAGCCAGCTTCCTGGCCAATCAGGAAGCCGGGCGGCGAGTCATTACACGTCGCCCGGCTTCCTGATTAACCGGGAAGCCGGATCCATGCTGTTTGAGATTCTTACAGTCATGTGACATTTGTGCTTTTTTTATGTGTTTTTGTTATCACAGGACTGTTTAGCTGTCCCTACTCCTAATCATGTTATATTGCTGAAAATTCGAATTTTTATAAACCAGTTGTAGCATTTTACAAACTAGATATCTTTACATTTCCCCAGGAAACATTGCCTCCAAATAACCTCAATGGGTTTGCTGCTCATCTTCTACCTTTTGTTGGATTTACATTTACATCCAACTGGTAAGTATAATAGACTGTATATGCAGAGCCGTAGCTAGCTCTTTGTAATTAGTTTTTTTTGTTAATGCCAGAACTGCTTTTTCTTTTTATAGTCAATGGGAGTGCAAATGCAGCATAAATCCTAGATGGATGGAAAATGCAGGTCAGATGGAGGTTTAGTGCCGGTCAGAAAGATTTTTAAGATGGCTGTGGAATTCACCTGAAAGTATGCTACATGTGCATGTATATACAAACCCTCGAGGTTGATCTCTGTTTCAGTACTTTTGACTCTCCTAAAAAGAAAAAAAAAGTATGCAGATCAGGAAAATTAGAGTCAAATCTTAAATTCTTATTTGCATGCTTGTTCTGCATCAGGGAATCAAGCCATTGAAGCTAGAGGATCAACATGACAGTCAGGCAACTTGCATTTGCAGAATGGGAAGTGTACAATGGCAGCCTGCATGTTTCTCTTTTTGCTTTTGGCTCAATGTGCATTTCCTTGACTGTCATGTCCAGTTATGTGTGTACTCTGCCATATGCTGGGGTACATTTTGTGTTTCTGTAAACATGGTGGGATATGTTTGGGTGGAATATTTTTTGGTCAGTGTTGGGCTGCACGAAAATGCTTAGGTTTTTTACTGGTTCATTTTACTTTATGTAATTTAAATATCTGTTTGAAATACATTTTTTAGCTCCTTGTCAGATGCCGGGTCACTGATAAGTTGTGTCAGTAATGGTGTAGGAACTAAACTAGGGCAAGAAAAAGATCAGTACCAAGGTAAGTACGTCTGCATATGTGTAACATTACTGCTACAAATCCTGTCCTGAACTGTGCTGTGTTTTAAGCGTTAAATATTTTGTTTTTGAAGATATTGTACAAAACACAATCAACAAAGACAACGAGATCCGCAGTTTGAAGACTGAAATAGAAGTTCTGCAAAAGAAATTAACAGGTGAATGCGTGTACTGGTTCCTATACATGTGCAATAGGAGAGCTCAATCAATAAACTGTTCTTTAGAACTATCATGACATAGACATGCATGCTTATATCAGCCAAGCTTGCATATTAATGCGCTGTGCAAGACACCTCCCGGCATGAATGACTGACTGGATTTGGATATACAGATTAAATTCAGTTCACTAAGGGCTTGTTTAAGCCAAATCCGGACCGCATGAGTTTCTGCATATGCAGTGCAGTACATTTTGCCACTTTCCGCATCATTAAAAAAAAATTATTCCAGGGCATTTGCATGCGTTTCTGATGTGTTTTGGTGCATCCCAGAGCAGAAAAAGTAGGGCATGCTGCAGTTTTTCCACATGCCCTGGAACTGAACGCTGTGGTATGAACTAGAGCCCAAAATACCATTGGAGTATGTTGGATGCATTTTTGATGCGTTTTGTAACTGCTCTGCTCTGCACTTGCTGTGAACAAGCCCTAAAGCATAACATATGAAGTATTTGTAATTTCATTTATTTTTATCAAAATGTTTTCTGTTCACTAAAGGTTTTAATACACAGTTCAATTGACTTTTTTTTGTAAAAGTAATTCATAAGAATTATTGCATCGGTGATCTCTCCATAAAATTATTGCTAATATTCCACTGACATCAGTTGTGAGGCTCTATGAGGTTTGTATAGAGAAGAGCAGGACGTGGAGACAAATGGAGATTCAAGAAACATAGAGGCTAGTTTAGCTACTTCCTGCGAAAAATTCCACACCTAGCTGATATTTCTGTATGCCACCTGAACTTGATGCGAACATGATATGTGACTAAATAACAAACACAGTTAAAGAAAAAGACTCATGGCTTTCTGAATTGACAGTGTCATGACTTTTTATAATACAAAGTGTCTCAGTGGTTTTGTGGTTGCCTATATAATCTGTTTTGTAATTTTATACATTTTTATACACTGACCAATAACTTCTATATTTCTATAATTACTTATTTGTTCCATAGAAAAGTCCAAGGAGCAGGATTCAATTTCAGGAACACATATCCAATCCCTGGAAAAACAAGTGAAAACACTCAAACAAGAGAAAGATCGCTGTACTAAGGTAGAACGCGTAAAGGGTTATGTGAAGTGAAACACTGGGCAATACAAAATGGCACATATGGAGTTTGTCCCTAGTATTCACACATCTGACAGGTAGATGTGTTTTATTTTTATTTTCCTTTAACAGTGTGGCATCACTGTTTATTCTCCAGTGAAATTGAATAGCAGCGTTGTCACTTTGTGGAGATGGTAGGAGAGGATGGACATGTTTTAAATGAACTTTAAATAACAGATGAACAAAATTTAAAGCCCAACTCCAGCTAACACTTTTTAAGCATTTACAGCACTTTGTTCTTAAACCCCCCCCCCCCCCCCAAAAAAAAACACACTAAACACTCCCCCCCCCCAAAAAAAAAACCACATGAATAAAAGGTGACCATTGTAAGCACCCTTGGGAGTATTGTATGGTTTGTCTCAACCCCTGTAACTGTCACTTCTGCTGGACAGCTTGGTCTGCATGTAATTTTGGAGAAAAATGTAAATAAAGGCATGTGAAAGGAAGGATTTAATTTAATCTTAGTGCAGACATTAACTCCTCATACAGTTTACAGAGTACACTAATTTTCACGATTATTTTTCACGAAAGTAAACCTGCAATTAAATATTTGGCTCCCTTTAACCACCTCCTTAAAATGCTAGTTGCTTGACTGTGTTTGGCTTCAATACTTTAACACCCCAGGACAAGCATGCAGGAACGAAGTCTTAGAAAAAGTCACAATTCTTTCTTCGAGGTCAGTGATTCAGAGAGTACGAAGAAAAAGATTAGAATGATAGCCAGGCAACGAGTTTCTTCATAATGAGAGGTCAACAACGGCAGCCTCCATTTGTCTGTTACTACAGGTTCCCTTTTAAATTCATCTAATGTATACGAGCTGAGGCTTCTGCTCCACGTGTGATCTTACTCTTTCCACTTAGGAACTCTCTGAAATGTTGGAGCAGCTGAAATCTCAAGGAGCGGAACACAGGGCGGCTCTGGAGAAGCAGAGAAGACTGCAGGAGGAGCTGCGTGCACTGGATGAGAAGTGTGATGGGCTGAGTTCCCAAAATGGACGTCTGTCTCGCAGGCTGAATGAAAAGGAAGATGAGGCAGAGGCAGCAGCAGAGAAAGTGAGGACTTTGAGAAAGGACTTGCAGAAAGCGGAAGCTGGTAGAAGAGAGGTCAGTGATCTGAGCCTACTTGGCTACTTCCCCCCACCCTTCTGTCCTGCTCTCTTGTTGGAAATGGAATGCCCCTTTTAATAGTCATTTTGCTTAGGATGTGCATGTCCTCCAGAAAAGGGAGCTGGTATCATCAACACTAAATTAAGACCAAAGTAGGAAATGATATGGGGGTTGTTAGATTAGCACTGATTTGAATATGTGAGAATTACATTGGCACTTACTAAATTAGAGGAGCAGATGATGGTGCCTAAAAGCTGCTCAAATTACAAATTACATTATGCTAATTAAATTATGATACGTTAACCTTGGCTTTTCTTTTATCCCTGTCTCAGGCAATGGGTACCACCTCCTTACGTCCATTATTTGATAACCATTTTTTTTGACTTGGCCAAAAATGCTTTTTAAGAGTTTTTTTTTTTTTTCTTCTTTTAGGCTGATTCATTAGCAGAAGATTTGGCCATAGAATTGGACAGACAGAAGAAACTGCGAGAGAGGAATGAGGTTCAGGCTTCAGAGGATCTGGAAAGAGTAAAGGTAATAGGCATGTGTTCTGATTCCTTCTGTAACATCTGTACTGTGATTATTTATACATTTGATGTACTTCATATCTACATAAACTATTGTTCATAATCCCATTTGCCTGTTTTGGTGCAGACACAGCAATCTGTTGCTTCTCCTGTCATAAGTGGCTCATTTCATGTTTCTGAGATGACCCAGCTGAGACTGGAACTTGAAAAGAGGTGCCAACAACTGGAGAGTGACCTTTCCCAGTTGCAGGAAGAGTTTGCACAACGGGAAGCTGAACATGCCAATGAGACGAAAGTGCTCCGTAGAGAACTTGCAGAGAAGGAAGCAGAACTGATATCACTAAAACATGACATGGAGGGAATGCACGAGTCCATTGGAAAAAGGAGAAATGACAGGTAGAGGTTTCACTTTTACCTTATCTTCACCTAAATGTCAACTTGAATGTTTGGAAAACTGGAGGAAAATAGAAGTGTTCCTCTTGGAAACTAATCAGGCACCAGCTAATTCTTTCTATGCATGTTAAAAACTAGAACACAAAAAAATTACATTTTGTTTTGCTATATTGATAACTTCCATGTTTCCATTGCCTTGTATTAAAAAGCCCAGTTAAAATGTTCTCTTTGCTGGCTTTTCTTGTCAACTTCAATATAAGTTTAATGGCAGGCTTTTGCCAATGTCATGGATTGGAGAAGGGTTAGAAAGTCTGTCAGCTTTATTAATCTGTGGGGCATATGTATAAAGCAATGAATGTGACTTTTACCAAACGTTTACTGCTAGCAGCTCTTACTCTGGTGATTTTGTATTTTAACATACAGTGAATTATTCAACGTTAAGTGAAATTTATTTTGTCCATTTTTGGGCAGATGACCTCCTGCCAACAAACGTGCAGGGGAGGGGGATGTCCCAAGTAGGGACACAGACATCAATAAAAACCTTGCATAGGTTATAATCTTCCCCACTTCAATCCTTTACACCCTGTTCTATCCACACTCCACAACTCAGTAAGCATTAAGCAAGATGGTTAAATAGCAGCCTAAGGTAGAAATATTTAAAATGAATTAAAGGTATCAGGCTACATGTCATCAGATCTCTGAAGTAGAGATAATAGTAAGACCTTTTTGAAGTGACCAGGCATGACCGTTTACATTCATGTTTATGCTAAAGTCCATGTTAATTTTAGCCTGGCTTGGTAGAGTGTTCTCTATTCCAGGGACATGGTCCTGGCTCACCGGTATAGTGTGCTTATGCTTCCCTGGTGATGGGATAAAATGTATTTGTAAGCAATATTTATCTGTTATAATTGCATTTGGAACAGCGCAAGAGCAAAAGAGGAGGAATTTCAGGAGATCAAGAATACTAATGAACGGGAGAAGAATCAGTTGAAGGCAGATAACAAAAAACTTCGGGAAGAACTGGAGAGGGTGAGACCATGGAACAGTTAGTTGTGTTTATCCTTTGTGTCAATCAATCATTGGCAAACAATCAGTTTGCCAATGTTCACGGACAGCTACAGTTTTCAATGCAATGTATGGCATTCTGTTAGACCCAAGAATAGATTTTGGGAGCCTGGTTTGAGATCCAAGCCATACATGGTTTACCACTTATCTGTAAGATTGTTACTAGCATGCTGTAAGAATATGCTTTTTTTACTTTACAGATTACTGTCAACTCAGAAAGTATGGCTGCTTCTCAAAAAAAAATGGAGGAGGAATCGCAATTTTTGGAAGACAAGAAAGAAACATTGGCCAACTGGGAGGCCCAAGTCACAGACATTCTTCAATGGTAAGCACTTTCGTATGAATGTTCAGCCAGTGGCGTCCCGAGGCGGGGTGTCACCCGGGGGCACGGGACCGGGGTCACACCCCGCCGTGATGTCATCACGCGTTTATTGTTGCCGCGCGTGCCCGATTGTCTTTTTTACGCCTGCTGGAGGCCATCTTAGTGATGGACGCTGGCAGAGAGAGGAGGGGACGTTCAACCGACGGGATAAAGTATGCCGCCAGGTCCCCTCCTGTCTCCTGACACTGTCGGGCTCTCGGTCTGTGACCGTGTGCCTGACATTTCATAAGGGGTGACACCAAAATGACTCGGCCATTTTGGTGTCACCCCTCCAATGGTAGCACACGGGTGCGGGCCGCACCCCCATTGTGACGCCACTGTGTTCAGCCATCAATACCTAGAATACATAGTGTATATAAAAGGTTCTTGGCTGAGATAACTCTGTAAAGGATTGCTTAGGATAACTCAAACCATCAAATCTGATCTAAAAAAAAACATTTAGCATTTTATCTAAATCATTTTTGTATTTCTAATGAGACAGAGATGTTGAGCTCTTTAAAAAAAAAAACTCTAAGATATTTTCTTTTTGTCTTGGCGCCTGAAGCCATATAGGCTGCTACTGTGTGTATGTGATTTTGTAAGCCACCCAATGTATCTTTTTATAGTATCAGAAAATACTATACAGAGCATATTCTGTCCTACAAGAGGTCTAACTGGATCATGCCTGGTGTGTCAAGCCACTCTGGCCACAATTTTTCTAGTTTAGTAGAACATCGCTGCCCTGGTACACATTTTTCTGACCTTATATTATTATTCATCATGATGTCCATTGGTATTACATAGTTAGAGATCTGGTTTTCCACTGTGATTTATTTTAAAGAAACCTATAACTCTAGAGATTTGGAGAGTCATAACAATAGTGATTATCCAGACACCAAAGTAAGCATTGACTAGGATGAAGGAATATGTTTATTTTTCATTTAGTAGGCAAGTGTAAATACAACAATTGTCTTAAAAAGAAAAACAGTTGTAAAGTTATTTAAGATACAAACAGTTCTAAGTTCCCTGCTTTGTTGTCTCCATTGCCATGGTCGGATGGTGGGTGTTGTGAAAATGTCCCTCTCTACCCTTGGTTAAAAAGACCAAGGACTGTGCTCAAAGTGTGTTGGTGTTGGTGGAACTTGTTAAATAAAACATTTGGAAGAAAAAATGGTCAAGGATACTCCTGGTGAAATGGGGAGAACACCTTTTCACTATTTAATATTCTATACTATGCGATATGCTTTATAAGTTCACTAAATATTGACTACTTTGTCTACTTTTTAGGGTAAATGATGAGAAGCAGTCCCGCATGTATCTACAGGCTTTATCTGTCAAAATGACTGAAGAGCTTGATGCACTGAAGGGTTCTGGTAGTCAAACGCCATCCAGCAAGACAGGGGTAAGAAGCAGCAATGGTCGATTTTTTTTTTATTGTTTTGTTTATTTAAATAAATTATTTTATATAAGAAAAAGGATAACCCCGAGGGCTGGTGTACTAGATGGTACAAGAAACAGGGTAAACATTAAACCCGTGGGAGAAAAAGAACAATTATATGTGACATAACCTTTCATCAGACAGAATATTACAAATCAGCAATAACCAAGACTGGTATACTGATAACACACGTATACTGATAACCTTCATCTCTATCACCCCCAGGAATCCTCTTTTTTCTAAAATCAAAAAACACATAATTACATTTTTTTAAGTAAAGTGAAATAAAATAAATCCTAAACTTGTAATGACCATCCACTTCTGGCCTCCTAGATGTCTTACATCAGGGCCCCAATGGAGATGAGTTGTTTTTTGGAAAAAAAAATATTTTTGTGTTCCATTGTAGGAAAACCAGTGGAAAGCACGCAGACTTCAGAAATTAGAGGCTTCAGGACGTTTAGAGCTTCAGTCTGCCCTTGATGCAGAGATCCGAGCCAAGCAAAGTGTTCAGGCGGAGGTGAACAAACTCAAATCTGAGAACCTTGAAACAGATAGGTGAGTTGTCTGCAGTATATGCTGCATTTCTACACCAAGTCTTATGATGGTTCCCTTTCTTCAGCAATTATTGCTGGATTTATCCAGAAATCATATTTCGTTGTCTCTTCCTAGAAAACTGCATTTAGACCTCTTTTATGATGCTGTTTACCAATAGGATGTCTTTTGTTTTGGCAGTATGATGCCATTATGTGTGTGTTAGTTACTCATACATAAGACACGAGGAGTAATAAAGTAAGCTGCGTACCATGTTTTATGGCTCCATTTTCTGTATTAAAATAGGAAACTACAGGAAGCAGATGAAGAAAACAAGAATCTGAAAGCAGAACTAGAGAAACTGCGTGAGGAAGCAAAGTCAAAGGTTACAGCAGGTGACACATGGGCATAATTTGTGATAAAAACCTATATCAGAAAACAGGGCTTGGTTATTCTAATTGATCCTCATGACGTATATTTTGTTTTTCAGAAAATAAGCCACAGCGCTCCCTCATAACATTTCTCTCATTCCGCGAGGTACAAGCACTTTGAAATTATGCCAAAATATTTTCTTATCAATATTATGTTGAACTCTGTCCCATTGTCTTACAGGAGCTCTAAGAATATTACAGAATATTATATTTAAAATAAAACTGACTTAGAAGTTTTGAGTGAGGGCATTAGGGACGATAATATTTTACTTCTGTGTGTAGTGTTGTGGAGATTTTTTGATTTTTTTTATTTCACAGTTTTCAAAGATACAGACAATTACAAAGAATAGAGGTGTTATACATACAGACTTAGGGGAAGTGTCAACACTACAACGGCCACGTGAGTTAGGGCACGCAGAGCCCAGAACATAGAGGCATAGAGTTCACAGAGGCACCGGCAACAGATCAAGTAGGCCCTGTGTAACTTACGCAGTATAGCATATTCCTAGTTAGTGTGATGTCGCAAGCTCAGTATACCAAGGCTCAATGCAGCTTCTGATAAACAGCTAGACTCCTTGTTGACATAAAGACAAAGTCCTAAGGGGAGGAGTTGAGGAGACAAATGAGTGGGGAAAGATGGGAAAGCAAGGGGGGAAAACGGACCGACAGAAGTCTGTGGATCTACAGGTACACACCCTAGAGCCGATACGGGGGAGGGGGGGGGAATTAGGGTTAAACCACTAATTGCCTCTCTTGGATCGAAATAACTGGTTATATGCATGTGACTATTGTTTTACTGATGTCTTATGATGTCGTGTTAAGTTGCTTTTTAAGGCATGTGTATGTAATGCAATGATTTGAGTTTAAAAATATGTGTAAAATGAACAGGCTGGAATGCATTGTATAAAAATGGCTCAGCAGCCTACAAATAACTGATGGGTCTCCGCATTGCTTTCTGTTTTAGTATTTTCTATTTTTTTTGAACAGAAGGATCTGGTCAGTACAGAATCCTCTGAGCAGCACCAGACATTCAGCAATGTCATTATGAGACGTGGAGACAGAACTGATGTGAGTATGTGATTATTCAGACTGCATTCAGTTAGGGAAAGGTGCCAACAATACCCACATTTTGAACTATACTTCCTATGGCCGTTTTGTTCATTCTCAGACCTTGAAATGTGTGGGGAATGGAAAGCATTGACTATAGAATGTTGTATTCTAAAATAAATGAGTTACAGTATATAGGGTTAATTATCAAATTGTGTAACTCTTTAATAATTATTTAGTGAAGTAGAGGGGGGAACTGAGGAACAGGTTAAGCTTCCATTAATTAATATACAACACTTCTAAGTCTTTAGCCCTTTATTAGGACAGACCATATTCAAAGCTAGTTTATAACTGATAATAAAATCTGCCAGCACAGTACAGACAGGGTTAATAGGAGTTAACATAAATTCTCCCAGTTCCCTCCTTAAAGGAGAACTATGGGGTCAGGGCTTTTCCCCATAGTTCTCCTTAGGGTAACGGGAGGACACAAACTAGCGTCCTCCCGTCACCCTAAGCTCAGTATACCGCGAGCTACAGCTCGCGGTATACTGAGATGCCGGAGCTGATCCCGACATTGATGTCGCGATCTGCCCAGCTGCGTGAGTGACAGCTGCCTCTGCCTATCTAGAGGCAGAGCCAGCTGTACCAGCCCCCTCCCCTGTCCGTTCCGCCAGTCAGCGCTGGCGGATCGGAGCGGGGAGGGGGGGAATCCAGTCCCTCCCCATCACGGCAGAGAGCCGTGACAGGATCGAGAAGTAAACGAACAGCGGTATGTGTTCGCTCACTTCCCGATCTACTGAGCCGACCTGTGACAGTCTCATTGTCACAGGTCGGCTAGAACTATGAGGTGAGTGAAAAGCACTCACCTTATAGTTCTCCTTTAATGTTAATTAGGGGGGAGCTGGATAAGATACTTAAGCAAGTGAAAAGCACTTAAAAATGCAGCTATTTTATTTTTTAAAGTTCTGTAATGTGAATAGGAACATATAACAACTATAAAGTTGGTGTTATCCCAATTTTGCTGCAATAATGTAAAGAAAACTGTAAATGAGTCTGCCTTTGTGACACATAATCTACTGCAAACTGCAGGGCAGATAAGATTCACAAAGCTGTTTTTTCTTGTTTTGGGTTTTATTTCCTTTAATATTTCACCTTATTTAGTTGAAGTTAGACAATTTATACCCTGTTGCCATGTTTAAGAACGTGAGCACAAGCGCCTTGCTGAAAATAGGATGTAGGCCACCTGTATTTGGGCAGTGGGCTGAAAATCATGACTCTATTCATTTTCACTATCCTATACCTCTCTGGGGAAATGGGGCTTTGCCTGAATTGGGGAGAGTCTCCAGTCCCTCGTTTTGGCACTCTAGGAGTATTTCGTTTTTGGGTAAATATAATATCCAAGGATGTTTTTAAGTCCTTCTTTGCATCAATTTTTGCAAACAGTGTTGTCCCTCCTTTATGATGCTGTTTACCAATAGGATGTCTTTTGTTTTGGCAGTATGATGGGGGAAATGGGGCTTTGCCTGAATTGGGGAGAGTCTCCAGTCCCTCGTTTTGGCACTCTAGGAGTATTTCGTTTTTGGGTAAATATAATATCCAAGGATGTTTTTAAGTCCTTCTTTGCATCAATTTTTGCAAACAGTGTTGTCCCTCCTTTATTTCAGTGAATGCTTGATTACGACAAAAAAACAAAACAAGAAAAAGCTGTTTTTTCAGTGTGGTTTTTTTTTTTTTTTTTCCCTTTTGTGCACTAGAACAGATGCACTGCAACGGTTTTTTCCCCCCCAATCTGCGCACAACACATGGCAGTGTGTTACCATGCATTGCTTTAGTGCATTGGAATGCCCTTGAAAAGTATAGGTCTGAACTGGCCCACAACATTTTGTGGATTATTGCTGTATGTTTTCACTTATTTAGTTTAATTTGTGCTATTCTAAACATTTGTTTGACAGATAAACATTAGAGCTACTCTTCTGGTAATTGCTTATTTAAAAACTTACACCATAAATTTGTACATGGAAACAATGTTTTCTTTCTGTAGTCTGTCAAGAATAAGGTTAACAGGAGGTCTGTTGGAATCATGGAATATACAGAAGAGCCATCAGACAAAGTAAGTCTATGCTGGCACTTGTTTTTTCTTTTACTCTTGGGGGGTAATCTCCACCTATGTCTCTAGTGCTTTAATACCAGGTTATTGTCTCCATTGCCACACACAGAATTTAGAATTTCAAGAATTAGAATTGTCAATTTCCCCAGCAAGGGGTACCCTTTTTAGTGATGGTACAATCAGTACTACAAGAAATTAGATTGCAGTGTACCTGTAGAGTCTGTTGTTTTCAGACTCTGTGTGTAGGTTTAGGTGAAATTAAACTCGGATAGGGGAAATTACCAAAACTGGAGCAGTTGTGCATGGCAATCAATCAGTTGCTATCTTTCCATTCAAAATCTTAACTGAACAAACTGAAGAGAGATGCTGATTGGTTGCTATGGGCAACTGCTGCAAATTCTGTCTGGTTTAGTTTTGATAAATTCCTCCCAGTGAGTTTAGGAATTATGTTATAAAATGAAATATACAGCACACAATTATAATAATTGTGCTTTGCCACTGCTAAACAGGCATAGGATATTGCATTTGTATTGGGTAGGCATGGCTGTTCCCAACTGCATTCATTATTCAGAAGTAGAATCCATATTTGAGCAATATTCTCATAAACACAGTAACTCAATGCAACCAAATTCAATTTTTGCTTTGATTTGACCTTCGTTGACTGCAATTTGACTGTGACATATGGCTCTGTATATATCACTCTTTGTTTCTTACTGCCTATGGAGCAAGTTCATCTCCCTCTGTGCCCTAAAGGAATTAATGTGAGACTTTATAATCCAGTGTATTTGAGGGTTGATATGGGCCTTTACTGCACCCAGTGGGACAGAGTTGGGCAAATTAATTCCATAGTTCCTTTACGGCCAATGTATTGAGAACCAGCAGAATGCCTCCCCGTTTCTGCTTGTTCTCAATACAACTCCATGCTAATAAATTATTTACTTGCTTGCTGTTCCAGACAGATTTACAGACAATAAAGGCCCTTTTACTACCAGAGAGCTTAGCTACAAGCTTTTAGTATTTTTCTATTCTTTTAAGTGTTTACAAAATTTCTCAAGTCATGTATGAACATTTTTGTTACAGCCCAAGGCACATGCTTTTAAAGTGAAAAATTTTACTTCTCCACCAAAGTGTCTGCGTTGTACATCTGTTATGGTTGGACTGGCACGACAAGGATTGTGCTGTGAAGGTGAGAATTACAACCATGCAAAAATTATAACTACAACAATATAAAGAAAGGCCAGTCTAACTGTTTGTTTTTATGTGTGCACAGTTTGTGGCTACACGTGCCACGTGTCATGTCGGGAGGGTGCCAATATCTGTCCTTCTCCACCTAGTCAGAATAAGAAGATCTATGGAGTGGATCCAGTGACTGGCAGTGGAACAGCTCTGGAAGGATATTTATCGGTGGGTGTTTTTCACAGTTCATTCTTGTTTATTACACACGGATTCTTATTCTGTTTTTTCACCACCTTTTTATGAGGAGAAAATATCTGTAAATAGCAGAGTGATTATCTCTTTATAGATAGAGCATATCCATAAACACACTATCTACAAGTACAAGTGTGTAGAATTTTATCTGTAAGTGTCGGAATTAGACAGTATATCTTGGGTTGACTCATGCATATAACTACATTGTGCAGGTTTATCAATGTAATGTGCACTGGTTAACATGAAGCAAACAAAATGTGCAAAACAAAAGGAACTAGCGGAAAACATTGGAAAAATGTGGGATGCCATTGTTTACCTGCTTATCAATATGCTAGCTGCCTGGCTGTAATGCTGTTCAAATGACTTCAATATTTTAAGTAACAGAAGAAGCACACAGCAAACAAGGTTAAATACTAATCAAACTCCTGATGGGCATGCTTTCTCCAAGCTATTGTCTCAAAATACTGAAACCACTTGATAAGCATGACAGCCAGGTAACTAGTATTTCCAGGTTAGCAAAGTCAACCCATATCGTCTCAGTGAAGGTCTCGTTTACCACTCGAGTAGTAGCTTTTACATACCCCTTTAGTATCGGGGCATTTTTCAGTTTTCAGCACTGTGATAGTTTGACGATTACTCTGTCATGCAACCATAGCCAAATATATTGTATATATATTTTTTTAGACCTATCGTTTTCTTTTGCTTGTTATTTAATAACCACTAGTTTTTACTATATAAAGGAAAAAAGAAACACAAATTTGGGTTGGCTTACATTTCCCTTTATTTTATTTTCCTTTTTAAAAAATGATCCCACAATTATTGGTGTTCAGTGGCACTTTAAACACCCCCCCCCCCCCCCCACCCCCCCCTTTT